CACTAGATAGTCTATCTCCCTGAGGAACATCTCCATATCTTTATCTGCAACATACTCCATGACTGCATGTCATTGTCAGTGTGTCAATGACATGAAAAAAATCAGCTGTGTTACTGTGTTCCATAGATTGAAGGATGTTTACTTCAGAGCTGATGTGAGCCAGAACATTGTGTTTCTGAAGGATCTTGACAGGCAGGAGTATCTGCAGAAGATGGTGTCGCTTCTGCATTGTGTGTCTCTTTCTTCCACATTCTGCTCCTGAAATTGACTCTTTACAGCTTCTATACTGATCGGAGCACTGTTTCAATAGCTCTGTTCTTCAAGGGGGAGCAGGAGGCTGAGAGGACCTGCACAGAGCATATTTAACCAGGGGGTCTCATTGTGCTGATGGCTGTCCCCAATGCTCAGGTGGTAATTCCAGAATATTGATTGTGGCTGTTAGTTTATTATTTGGTGCCTGGGAGCCGAATAGGGCATCCCATTCATGCAGTAGTATCTGTGGATCATGATGAGGTTTCTGCATCCCTTGCTTCTTTCTTACACAATCTCTTCCAGAAACTGACTCTTCCCTGCTTCTGTACTGATTGGAAAAGCTGGTTCACTAGCTCTCTTCTTTAAGAGGAGGGGAGGCTAAGAATTCCTTCATGGATTATAATTAACCAGGGCATATCATCTTGCTGATGGCTGTCCCCAGTATTTACTGGCATTTCAGAATATTGATTTTGGTTGTTAGTATATTATCTGACTCCTGGGTACTGAACAGGGCATCACATTCAGGAATGAGTATCTGTGCATCATGTGCTTCTCCATTCCTTGCCTCATTCTAAACACCCTCATCCTGAAACTGACACTTCCCAGCTTGCATAATGATGGAATAACCTGGTTCCCTAGGTCTCTTTTTAGGAGGAGAGGGAGACTAAGACCTGCTTGCATCACTTTTTACCAGAGCATCTCATCTTGCTGATGGCTCTCCCTAAGGCACAATAGATAATTCAGAATATTGATTGTTGCTGTTTATTATTTGGTGCCTGGGTGCTGAACAGGACATCACCTCTAGACAGAAATATCTGTCGAGGATGGTTGTAGCTTCTGTATCCCTTGCCTCTTTCTACATAACCTCTTCCTGTAACTGATTTTTCCCAGCTTCTATACTTGAATCAGAAATGCTGGATCACTAGCTCTCTTGAAGGGGAGAGGGATGATAAGAAGAACTTCAGGGATCATATTTAACCAGGGCTTATCTTGCTGATGTCTAT